CATGTGATCTATCCCCTAGTCTCTAACCTACCAGTATTTCTAGTGATGTCGATGTACTTTAGTAAAACAGCTCAAACCTCACCATGGATCGATACCATGCCTAACCCTTCTAGGGTAGGGTAGGTGCCTGAGCCCGAGCCTTTAGCTCATAAGACTGGAAATAAATGGTATAAAATACCGACACAATGGAAATATAAACACAAATGCAGTATAATGTGATCCTTTATTGACAACGTTTCACCCACACAGTGGGCTTTTTCAAGTCACACACGGATCTACCTGGGGTTGGAAGGTACGAGAGTATTTATAGTCAGAATGTTGAGGTCAGGTGGAGAATGCTGCATCTGATGATCTATCGGGTGGGGTTATAGAGTCTTGGGTAGATCATCAGATGCAGCATTCTCCACCTGACCTCAACATTCTGACTATAAATACTCTCGTACCTTCCAACCCCAGGTAGATCCGTGTGTGACTTGAAAAAGCCCACTGTGTGGGTGAAACGTTGTCAATAAAGGATCACATTATACTGCATTTGTGTTTATATTTCAGCTCATAAGACTGCCATTTGCCCCCTTGGGGCGGGGATGGCAGACCAGAGAGGCCTAGCTTGTGGCTAGGCCTGGGGACAGTTGGTCCCACAGATGAGGTACTTGTGCCTCCTCCCATGGGAGACTTAGGTCTCAGACACTCCCTAAAGAGGGAGCCAAGGCCGGGCCACCACTTGGAAAAGGCCCGGGCCGCGAGAATACCGGCTAATCTTTAATAATAATAGCTCACCACAAAGCCTGTGCCTACAACAAATGGAGTACCAACAGTTGGTGCACAAAGACAAATTGCGAACAATAATGCATTGTTGCTTTAGCTTTCGTTTCATGCTAAGACCATTTCCAAATTACCGAGTAGCGTCAATGAAGCGAAAACCTTGGGTAGCTTTAAAAATAGGTTAGGAAAGTTCATGAGTGGGTGTGACTTGGACCTGCCTAGCATGGACCAGTAGGCCTGCTGCAATGCTCTTCATTTCTTATGTTCTTAATACAGAGGAACATAAGAATGGAGGAATCCTGCAGAAGGCCTACTGGCCCATACAAGGCAGGTCCTTATAAAAACCACCCCTTCCCAAAGCTACCCAAAAATTTACTCTCGTACCCACGACACCAATCAAACCCAGCTCCTCCCGCTCATATATCTGTCCTATCTCTTCTTAAAGCTACCCAGGGTCCTAGGTTCGATTACCCTACTCGGAAGATGGTTCCACGCATCGACCACTGTTTGAAAACCAGTTCTTACCTATGTCCTTTCCAAATCTAAATTTACCCATCTTAAATCCGTTATTGCTGGTTCTTACCCGAGCCGATATCTTCAGTATTTTATTAATATCGCCTTTGTTTATGCCCATCATCCACTTAAATACTTCGATATCTACTCTCTACGCCTCTCAAGAGTGAAGATTCCAGTTGTCGTAATAATAGCTCTCTTCGTTACCACAATCCACAGACGATAGGTGTTCTTTAAGCCCCTTGTAATCTGCTAAGCGAAAATTTGGGATCGTTACTGAATTTTCCCTACTATCATACTTGGATTTTAAGAACCAACTCCCCCTTCTAACTTCTCCACACCCTTCAAAAATTATCAGAGTCCACCCATTCCACAGGCCCCTTTCCCTTCCTCTTCAAAAGCAGCTATCTGCTTAGCAGATGTGCTAAGCAGATAGCTGCTTAGCACATCTGGTAAAGCTAGGTCAGAAAATTTCTCATGAGCTATGGTGGCCAGCTTGCCGGCTTCGTGAGGTGCTGATAGCAACCTGGCAGCCTTGGAGCCACAGGCAGTACCTTAATTTTAACACTGTTCTTGAGCAGGTGTGGGACTAGCTACTGTGGCACAGTTGCACAGCCATCACTGATACTGACCTGACTGCTCAACTTTCAGCTACCATTCACTCCAATTAGTAGTAGTTTGGAGAATATCACACACATTCTAACACGTTTTGTTTATATAGGCACAGTCTCTCTTGATTACTGAATACTTAAATCGTTACTTCCTCGATTTTCATCTAACATACTATTTATAAGTATTAAAACGTATTATCTACCGATGTGGTGTGACTGCTCCTCTCCCCATATATTGTTCCGTCTATGATTTGTCATCTCTTTCCCTCCCTAGGGTTAGTTTTTATCTACCGACAGAACCGCTAGCTTGCTTTCATGTTTTCTCTCCCCCGTCTCTCGCTCCCCAGCCCTTCCGTCTCTATCATCAACATTCACTTTTTACTTTCTTTGTCTTTTCCGGTTTCTACATCCTCTCCTCACTCACTGTTGCCACATTACATTTTTCTCGCAATCAGATATTCCTTATCTTCAATAAACTTACTCCCTCTTCCCCCCCCCCCCAGCTTTTTTTTCCATTCTCATAGGCACCAGAGTGTTTCTCAGTAGTAGTAACCAGTTACCAGTAACCAGTGTACCAGTAGATGACTCACTACCAACCGTCTCTGCCTGAGTCACTGTCTGTATTCATATTGTGCTGACCACAGCAGTATTCAAAGACCCCCTCACATATGGGTACTGTGGGCGGCCAGTCAGTGATACGAGAGTGAGCAAGGAGATAGGCAGGCTGTTTGGGCGCTCCCCACATTATCTGTAATTATACGTACTACCAGCCTACATGAGTATTACTTTACCCTATCCACGTGTTCGAACTCCCACATGATATGTTATCCGGTCCTGCTGGAATGTCATCCTGTGTAAGAAAACACTCCAGTCCCTTGAAAAAGAATCCACACCTGCTGTAAGTAGTAAAGTGTTGAATAAAAGGTATCCGTGTACTAATAAAGTTAATTAAAAAAAATCCAATGGGTGTGGAGAGTGACAGCAAGCATGGTGGTGGTAGGGGGGGATATTAGAAGAAAGAGTGGCAACAAGGAAAATGAGAGGTGGGAGGGGTGCACACGTGTTCACAAGTCTGGGCTGCCGACACAGTCGACTACTTTCACTTTCTCACGAGTTCCGCAGTCGTCAAAACTTATTGTTTCGTACCTGTGTGTCACATACTTCCAGGTGTGGTGCGTGGGGGCCAAGTGAGAAATTGAACACACATGCACAAGAAAAAAATATTGCTTACACTAAGTTAAGATCATTGGAGGAATAGTATAAAAAATTGAAACTAGTTATATAAGGCACTGGTCAATAGCACGTTATGTTAACTTTTTTTAGTAGTACTGCCCAATAAACTGTGCTCTCAGGGAAAGAATAATGAAGTTAAATATCCTTCGTCTCGTGGGTAAATATTTAAGGAAATTCCCTGGAGGTAAAACCTGAGGAGTAGGACTATGTTCGACTCAACGTTCCTGGCAGTATTCTAGACAGATACTCTTAACTTTATCTACTGTCAACAACTCTCTACCAATACAACTTGCTTAACCAACAAAACACTTTTGTCTGGTCCCTTGGACAAGTGCACGCTCCTCTAACATTACATATGGCTCCTTAAAACGTTCATGAGATTTAATTCCATCCAGCTCATTTATTGTTACTACAGTGCCTGAACCTATTGTGTGCCTCCGCAATATTTTCTATCAAATAATTTCGTGACAATCCATTATTTTTGCAAGCAGCTCATTACTATTTAAACTTGTTTGTTTAACGATGTTGGCGCGAGTTCCCTGAATCCACGTGTCTAATCTTTCTGTTTACTGATGGGTATGAGGTGTATGGATATCAAACTAACTATAGTGCTCACAGGTTAGTGTCAGTAACATAACTGTGGGGAAGGGAGGTTTCTCCACCCGAAGGTTTTTCCTATACGAGCGAGACCTGGGAAATGCAGTTTCCTTGTCTGAAGAGTGCAGATAGGCTCTAGCAGATCTATTGGTATTTATATAAAACATGATTGTGGAGAAAGTAACAAATTGAATAGACTACGAGACTATTAAAAAAAAAAGGTTTAAAGAGACGGCTAAACAAACATAAGGACAATTATTAGAAATCTTTTTGGTTTTGGGAATTTTATCGCCTCGGTTATACGTGATCATGGTCCCAGGACCGAAACGTAATATGTCCTGGTGTATGCTCACTTGTTTTTTAAACCATTTATCAATTGCTAAGGTTTATACCAGACTACAAGAATTCGTTGCTAGACTAAAGCAAAATTCCTTTTATCTGTAGATCTCACCAGAATGAAAGGTAAATTATATGGCCAAGCCAGACCACACTAGAATACTATCTTATTGTTCTAATCTAACCCTTTCAATAAGTCCAAAGAAACCCCAAAGGAAATAGTATATTTCCCAGTAACTAAAATATCTGAAATATTATATTAAATAGACAATTCCTATACGAGACAAATGTATCAAGTGACTACTATCCAAAGATGAAACTATTGTACATCAAATGAATCTGATAAAGAGCTTTCTCGACCTCAAGCCTTGCGCTTTTGCTCCACCATTCTCAGGGTGGGTATGAGGGTGCACAGTAAACTAATATTTTCGTGTGAGAAATGTGCATGTGGGGCAGATACTGAGCACCCCCTACCTCCCTCCCGCTCAAGAAGCCTTGTTGTGGAGGTGTCGTGAGTGGTGCGGGGTCTCCACAATCACGACCGCGGCCACGCCCAGCCTTCCAATGGTAACTACCGTTCAGTGTGCGATAATCACCTGAGAGCAATTTCTCATGTCTGGATCTATGTTACATGAGAAAAAAAAAGCAAGGAAAGGTTCAGGTTCAGGTACTGAATAGGAGGCCTAGTCTGAGATTGGAGAGCGAGATCAGATTCTCATAACCATTAGCAAATATATAACGGTCGCCTCATTATGTGTACACAAGAGGCCTTCACTACAGCCACTCTAGTTCGCCACCTTCGCTACCTACCATCATTGCATGTAGGACACGATCACGTGAACTACCATAAATCCCCCCACCTATCCATTCTCCCATTATAAGGAAGTAATAAGGTGCCCATTAATGGCTCACTATATCCAAGCATAGGTACTGAGAATAAGTACTCACACAAAGACAATGTCTCCAGCGAAGTTTGACGGCGGTTCCCACATGAGCGTCACTTTGGTCTTATCCGCCGGGCCCCTGTGAGTGACTGCATTCTGTAGACGGGAATAACATGATTAGTTTTTTTATTCTCTACACCGAGACATTCATACAAATATAAACAAGCTACTTTATTCCTAACTTAACCCAAATCAAGCCTCATCCGGGTACATTCGTCCTGGAAACAAAGGAAGGCCTAGATACACACTAAAGTCACACCTAAGCAATACGCTCGCTGCACCTCCATAATTCAGGTGCCCCGGATCAAAATTCTCTCCTAATTGTGTTTGTAGGGATCAAATAGCTCATCGGCCCGAATCTCTGACTATTTATTACTCGGGCCGACGAAACGTTTACAGATATGCCCGAGGCTTATTTGGATATGTCGTAATCTTATTCCCTTTTTTTCTCTCGTTCATTCAGAAACGAAAGGCCTAGGCACCATTTTGGTTCGAGTTTCGTTCTTATTGAGTGAGTGTTCTCGTTCGAGTTTCATTCTTACTAGGAGTGTGTTCCATACCGAATTTGAATACATATATGGATCGCACATACCATGTATTGTTTTAATATATTCCAAAAAGTCATACTAATCTTCGGTAGCTTAGATTATGCTACTACTTTTAGTGTCCATGGGTGCTTCAGGGGATTAAAGATTTGGGGTTAATTCTTGTTCCTACTTTTTCTTCTCGCAGCCGTTTCCACAAATTTTCCTCCAGAATTATTACATTCACTGGAGGAGCGTCAAACCTGTACTGGTCATACAGAGCCGGGGGAAAGGGTAGAGAAAGGAGTGAGGCAGAAGTGGAGGAAGGATGAGGAAGGAGCTGGAATGACGAGGAAGGGTGAGGAGAGGGAATGACGAGGAAGGGTGAGAAGGAGAGGGAATGACGAGGAAGGGTGAGAAGGAGAGGGAATGACGAGGAAGGGTGAGAAGGAGAGGGAATGACGAGGGTGAGGAGGAAAGGGAATGACGAGGAAGGGTGAGGAGGAGAGGGAGTGACGAGGATGAGGAGAGGGAATGACGAGGAAGGGTGAGGAGGAGAGGGAATGACGAGGAAGAGGGGGAATGACGAGGAAGGGTGAGGAAGAAGTGGGAGTGCACGACTGAGGAGACATAACAGTTACAGTAGTGGATGTGAAAACAGTGCGGACACCGCTATGTCAACAGACATGACTTGCCGAGTTAATTACCACTACATGGCAACACTGAACAGTGATCACCCACCCACTATCGCGGTCATGCCCACCGAGGATGCTGTCTGGGGCACGGATTCTTCCCTACATGCCCTCCTGTTCTAGAGACGTTAGATGCGACTCAATGAAGGGAGGGAAGGCATGTAGGTGAAGCTCAGTGGAAAAGTGAAGAGCCATGTGGCACTGTTTATAGTTAGAAATGACTAATTATATACTATTTGCGAAAACTTAATACCCGCGGTGATCGCATTCACTCCATAGCTAATGATAAGACTATAAAAACAATAACGAAGCTGAGAAGAAATTTGATAACTGAGAATTCTGAGTGAGAAGGAAAATAAAAGCTACAGAAGAAAAAGCTTTAGAAACATTAAAAGACTAATATACTTCAGAAAGGAGAACAGAAAACGTCAAGGCAATAAAGGAGGTAATAAGGAAAGATGGAAGAGGCGGGTAAGAGGTGTAAAGTGAAAACAAAAATAAAAATTGATATCAGGAATATTCGGCTTCCTATTCTAAATACGTGATAAATGAGAACAAAAGCTAGTTATGATCCCTGCCATATTCCGTCACTCGGGACGGGTTTTATACATCCAATGTTGAATCTGTCAGCACGAGCCGGGAGACTTCAGGATGGCAAATGACAACAATCAGGTATCTCACTATTTCTCAGGATGGCCTGTTTCATGCACATTAAAAACTGAATATTAACGATAAGTATCACAGAATAGGCTAATAAAAATATGGAAAAAAAGAGGGATTTGACTTGCATTATAAATCTTAAAATAAATCTATTGACACTACAAATTCATTGTTGCAATAGCTTTCCGAAATTTTAAGCATAACTGAACGCAATATGCCGCTACCCTATTCTATAACATTACAGTGGGAACAAAATCTGTTTCCCTTTCATACTCCATCAAGCAGGATGGGGTTCATACAACGCTGAAATCTGCCAGCCTGAGAAGAGAGACTTCAGTAAGGCAATGAGGATATCGAGTATTCCATTATGTTTCATCAGCTACGGGAGCTTCAAAAGGCTGCCTTCCAGCACAGCTGGAGTTGCTATCATTTGGGAATTGTCATTTCTCATGACAACTTTTCCCATAAACAGGAGAAATGGAATTTTAATAAATATATATCCATCATCCCATACCGGTAGCAAGAAATTATATACAAGAGAAAGAGGAAGGGAGAAGGGGCTCTAGAGATATAAACATTACGTAATACAACTACACAGACAGGAAAGAGCGGGGAAAATTTGCATGATTTACTAACATTGGTATATTACAATGAAGTCATTATATACCTAAGAATATATAATGGCGATAACCTTGCAAGAACTTTTTACTATTAATATCAAAGATCGATACGTCACATCAGCAGTGAGCTGCTACCTATTCTATATTACAGTTACACATGTACACAGATGAGTATTTGAATGTAGTTTAGACATATCTATACACACAATGAACACTGTACCACCTGCACACATGTAGTGGTCTATGAAAGCAGATATTTCCAACCTGTTTGGGCATGACTATATGTCCAACACTTTGGGCACATGTAGGAGAGGAAGATATCGTATTATTAACATTAACATAGAAGTGGTAAAATAAAGTGAAAGAAACAACGGTTTTAACAACTTTATAAGTGTGTGTGTGTGTGTGTGTAGGTGTATGTGTGTGTAGGTGTATGTGTATGTAGGTGTATGTGTATGTAGGTGTATGTGTATGTAGGTGTATGTGTATGTAGGTGTGTGTGTGTGTGTGTGTGTGTGTATGTATATATATATATATATATATATATATATATATATATATATATATATATATATATATATATATATATATATATATATATATATAATATATATACACATACATATATACACATACATATACACACACAATACATATACACATACATATACACATACATACATATACACATACATACATATACACATACATACATATGCACATACATACATATGCACATACATATATACACAATAAGATCACAAACAGGTGACATCAGAATATGCAAAACAACCACTCTGAAAGGATAGTGAAATTCCAATCGCTTTCGTGACTTCTCTCGTTCCTTGATAATGTGAGAAGCCACGAAAGCGATTGGAATTTCACTATTCTTTCACAGTGGTTGTTTTGCATATGTCTGCATTTGCATGTAACTACTGTATCATTAGGCTCACGAGTACTAATTCAGAGTCGATACAGTATTTACACAGTTAAAAGTACCTCATTCCACCAGGCTTAGTCACTGGCAACTGGACATGCACCTAAATAATGGTGATGGTAATGTGCCTTCCCCTTTTCAAATAGCTGAATGGGGTACTTGGAAGTGTGCAAATACTTTTTCTTTGGGGTGCTTGAGGATCTCATTTTTCCTCCTTGAATTTGCCAGCTCTCATTAGCAGCTTAGTGATGCTCCATTGTTATGCAAATGTACGAGTGAAGTGTGACAATAGGAGGATGGGGGAGCAAAGTGTGACACTGGGGAAGTAGAGTGCCAACTGGAGGACGGGAGAGTGGACTGCGACAATGGAAGGGAAATGCTGTAGTATGGCATGGGAAGGCCTGGGATTGTAGCAATGGAGAAGTAGCAACAATGGGAGCGAGGAAGAGAAACTTACAAGTAAGAGCAACAATGACAATATGCGTAGATGGGAGCAGAAGTGTCACACAAAGTACTAGCTCCACGGGAACAATACAACACTTGCTCTACGCTACAACCTACATCCGCCACTCGTGATTATGCCATTTACGCACCTCTGACATACTTCCCACATTCCCCTCCCCCCGAAAGGCGAATTTACTGTTAAAGTCACTCGCTTGCGAGTGAACATACCGGTAAACACAGTAGCATGTGCCGTAACATTACCCTCCTCAGAACATGGAGACTCTTTATGAACCAATGACCAACCAAACAAACCGAGCTTTTATTTTATTTTGGTTATAACTCAGCTAAAATCCGTCTGAATCACGAAATTAATTTCATTAAGTAATACTTACTAAATTTAGACTAATCTTCGGAACGTCAGGTAGAATGAAATTATACTCAGCAAATTTCAGAAATATAACGTTGCCTTAAATTTTAGTCTCTGGAAAGGTACTCCAGCAGTATTAAAACATCACCGAAACGGCAGAAGCCGCTAGCAAACTTAAATGTGACAGTCAGCGTTATGATGATTGTGGAATGAGAAGACGAGTCCTGCCGAACACTGTACAGCTGCTGCTCATCTATACGATCACAGACAGGCTACACAAGAACTCGCTCGATACAACAGCCTTGACCCATGTCCTTTAGCTCAATACCTACAACTGACATTCTATGAACACCAACAGAACTACATATTCTCGCCAGGCATGGATATTATGACCTACCGAGTATGGCAATATAAACACAAATGCAGTATAATGTGATCCTTTATTGACTACGTTTCGCCCACACAGTGGGCTTTTTCAAGTCACAAACAGAACTACCTGAACAAAATGCTCAATCTACTTAATGACCCAGATACCTACAAACCTCTCACAACTAACCAAGTGGACAACCTTACTAAAACTTTTCTTCAAAGGACTCGCCGCATTCTGAGGAGCTCAGAACAAGGGAAGAAACTTCTGCACACCATGCCCAGCAACCCCAGACCTGCCAGAATGTACGGCCTGCCAAAGACTCACAAGCCTGGTATCCCACTGAGGCCCATATCCTCGGGAATAGGCAGTGCTCCCCACAAGCTCTCAGGAATTCTCGCCAAACACCTCTCGAAACTCTTGGGCACTATCAGTCCAGCACATCTCAAACACTCAGGTGATCTTCTCAATCGCATTCGCAACAT